AGGACCGACTTCTAGCACCAGCGCCCAGCGGCACCTGCAACGAACCCCACACACGAGTCTGCGCTCGCGTCTCACTGACTGCACCGGGCAGGGGACGCCTCCAGGACTGGCTGACACCGCCAGAGATGCTGGGGAGAAGGGCACCTGGGACCGACTGCGTGGGTGCTCCGCCCGCCCCCTCGGAGGCCCACGTGCACCACCAGGCAAAGTGGCCTCCAGCCACAGGTACAAGAGGCCGTTGCTGCCATCACCGCGGGGATGCCAGCCCCCAAACGAAAGGTGTGTTGGAGATGATTAAACTTTCTAGAGACCATTTTGGTCATTCTTGAAATTAAAGAGAAACCTTTATTTTCAACAAAACTGCCTAGAAGAGATGGTTCATTGATCCACTAGGAAAGAATCTCTCACCACATCCAGCACCAAAATATGTATTTAAAAAATTAAAAACACACAGCCCGCTCCTCACACACACGCATTTCCCCAAAAGCCACCACGCATCCCAGACCAACAGGGTGAACAGATCAATCCAGTACCCTCACACAAAAGGAGTCTGTGAATCAGGATTTACAAATTTATAGTCTTTCCTATGAAAAAACAGAAACAAATGAAAAACCAAGCGGGTAAGGAAAAACCTCTACACGAAGGCCTGACGAGACTCGGGAGAACGAAGAAAGCACACTGTCTGCCTACGCACCCCCAGGAAGCAAGACCCCCAGCGGTGCTGCTCCTGCCCCAGCGGCCCGGCCCTGGGGGCCGGCAAAGCCCTGTAGGAGCCAGGCGCCCCACGCACCCGTGGCGTAGGGCAGGCGCCAGCCTTCCAGGGAGACAGCGTCTTTCACCACGCACTTTCCTGCGCTTCCAAGGGCCGGTTTCCCCTTTAGAGAAGGTGCTGAGTCAGAGAGGAGTGAGGGGGGAAGAGTTCTCTGCTGCGAGAAGGTCCTGGGCCCCGACAGCGCCATGACGAGCTCCGTGCGGGGCTCGCTGCAGACTCTACTTGGGCTCCTCGATCACACCTTTGCTCAGGTCTGTCATTTTGGGGTATTTTACTTTCTTCTGGTCCAGCTCATTCTGAGCCCAGAGGAGGAGTTTCAGTAATTTTGCCAGCTTGGGTGTTGACTCACGGTTTTCATAATCCAGGACAGCTTGGTTAACCTCACTCCACACCTGGAAAGTAAACATATCCAGTAAAGGCAACTGCACACATGGAGCACCAGCAGAGAGGGTGTGGTCACAGCGTGCATTTCACTCCCCTAGGAGACCGTCTTCACACGAGAAGTGTCTTGTTTACTTAAAGACATTGAAGCCCGTGACCATGATGCACTCTGGAGGATGTGAAACACATTCCTTGCCCAGAGGCGCTCACGGTGCAGTCAACAGGTGTCACGTCTCGCCCAGGTGGCGGTTACATGCCAGGAGCTTGGCATGAGAGTCCAGCAGAGAGGAGACCCCAGGGGGTGGTCCTGGTTCCATCCTCACCAGCCTCAAGAGAACACCTGAGGTTGGCCCCAGGGCTGCACCCCTTCCAACACCACGGAGGCCACCGGAGAAGGGGGCTGTGGCCAGGAGGTGACCAGCTGTCCCGTGGCTGGAACCCAGAGAAGCAATAAGGAGAGCAAACATTTGGGAAGCAAATATGGGACCTGAATTAAAAATCTATGAGACGCCTGTTTCTAAACATCTTCAAATATGAGGAAGGTTGAGATAAAAGACGAAAATCGGCGAAGCGCCTCAATTACCACATAGTAGAAAAACTTAGGACGCTTTGCGCCCTAGTTTGACAGGATGAGAGTTTAAAAATCAGGCGGAAAAAAATCAGTATCAAATGAGGGAGGAGCTGGGGCCATCCCCACACACCGTCACAGCCATAAGCCACGTTCCCCGGCTGTCCAGCGGCCCCCACCCACCGTGAGCGCCCACCGCAGCAGCGGGGGAAGGCCAGCCCGGGCCCCACCTTCTGCCTCTGCATCATGTTCAGGAGGTCTCCGAAGGGCGACTCCTCTGGGTTGTCGAAGGCCAGCAGTGCCAGCGTGCGCTCCATCTCTGTCAGGCACTCCCGGCTCTCCTCGCCCTGCTCAGCCAGCTGCGTCTGCGCGAACTCCAGCGCAGCCTCCGTCTCCCGCTGGCGGATCAGCTCGATCAGGTGCTGCTGCTGCTCAGCGACAAGGTGGCCGGGTGTGAGTGCGCAGCGGCCAGCACCGCCCAGCGTGGCCGTGCTAGCTTCTAGTCAGAAGGGCATCCAAGGGGCAGAGTTCCCTAGCATCTCTGAGCTATTAAATGTGCATTTTTCAAGCGAGGAATAGCTTCTGAAATACATAAGACAACAGCTAACACAAATCCCTTCCCCACGTAAATCAAAACAGTATTCTATCAATGCAAATCAGCCTCGTTCCTTGGGAATCACCGTAAATCACCTTAACTTATTACTGAGTGTCTGCAAACCAGACACCCCTCAGGCAAAACTCACTTGCAAGTGGAAGTAAAGGTGCCGGTTTGTGTCCAGGAGCTCTGGGTGGAGGCTGTTGATCAGCGCGATGGCCTCCTGAATCTGGCCTTTCAGGATCATCTCCCGGATTTTGATTCGCTCATCAAGTGTTTCGAGATCAACACTAGGTTCGATCCCAGATTCCATTCGAAATTTCTCTGCTGCTTCCTTAAAGCCCTCTGAAAACGAAAACCATCGTCATTGCTCGGAGAGTCAGCAGGACGTGACCCGAAGCCTTTTTCACTCTTGAAAGCCCACTGGCCTGGAGAGTAACCTCAGGTACGAGCTACCCTTCTTCAGGGATGTGGTGTTAACGCCTCTGCGACTTGCTAGCTATGCCCCTGAGGTGCAGACATTCGAAAGGCTGCACGTCATCACCGCCCAACCCACTCAAACACTCTGACTCCCCCTGCCCGAGGCGAGGACTTGCGCTGTGGCTCCCTGTAGAGGGCCTGGGGACCTGGCCACGCCCACTCTTGGCGAGTTGACAGCTCTCAACATCAAAGCAGCAACCTCGCACACACATACACCCCCCGACACGTGTGCACACAGCTATAGGCCGCCATTTCCTAGCCACCTTTCAAAAAAAAATCTTAAAAGAGACTAATGTGAGGCGGAGGGTCGGGGCGCTGGGAACTAGCAGGAAAGAGAGCCACATCTTTTGGAAACAAGACGGTTTTTTCACCCCAGAGTTACCCTCTTCCTTTCTAGAACCAAAGAGAGCTGCGTGTCAGCTGCAGAGCATGCGCTCCCTTCCACACGCTTCTGCCCCACCCCTCTTCTGAGGTGGGCACCCCTTTAGGAACAGTCCAGGACCAGAGCTACTGGGCTGGCCAGAAGACAGCAATTACCCAGGCCTTACACGTACTTCAGAGCACTCTTAATTATCTTCATCAACTGTAAAAATGCCAAAGGCCAAGAAACAGGATTATGCCTTAGGTCTCGGATACCTGGAATCTGAGCTCGCCTCCAGAAGAGATACCTCTTTCAAAGGAGAATTACAAGTATGCTAAACCAGCACTGCGTTTTAATGACAGCTGAGCACAACCCAATTTCCCCACTGAACGTTAGTGGTGAAGTCTGACTGTGCGCACTCAGGGAGAACTCTGCCCAGGGGCAGCATCCCTGGCGCAGGCAGTTACCTGTGACCAGGTAGTTCATGATGAGGCGGTTCATGTCTGCTCGCTGGACGTGTAAGTTGTTGAGTTTTTCCATCCACTCATCTTTCGTGATTTCATCGGGTTTTTCTGTGTAACTCATTCTGATTTATTTCTACAGGAAAAAAAATTATATTTTAAGAATTGGTGAGGAATGCTATGACAAGTGTGATCACTTCAGAAAAAAATACAGCGACATAGCAGGAAGTAAAAGGGAATGAGTGAGAAGATACTTAAAATGTGGGAACCAGCAAGTGCAAAGGGTCTGAGACTCAAACACAGGTTCAGGGACCAGAAGGAAGGTGGGGTGTTTAGGAGGCAGGATGAACGCAAGGAAGAGCCACGGGACTCAGAGACAGGAGGGCAGCTGGGGTCAGATTAAGGCCTTCAGGTGACGGAGAAGCTTAGATGTGTTCTCTAAGGACCAAGGACAGCCACAGGGTACAAGCTACAGAATTTCATGCTGTAACGTATGTGCTAAAAGAATCCCACAGTCACACACCCACCAGACTCACAAAATCGTGTGTTAACAGGGACATCGCATTCTCCTGAACTCCCCTACACTGCTGTCAGAAAACACTGCACTGCAAAAGCATTTGGCAGCTGCACATGTGTGCTCCTTGCAGCCAGTTCTACTGCCAGATTGAGACCCTTGAAGACTCACCACAGTGTGCTAGACACAGATAAGCCTGCTCACAGAAACAGCGTTCAAAATGGCAAAGATACGGAGGCATCCCCACCATGTTCATTCATCAACAGCACGGACAAACGAAATGTGGTTCACAGGACCACAATCCCTGGCCCAAAGCCCTTGGGCAGATCGGTTTCAGAATTCAGAACTGTTCAGATCGTACAAAGACTATCTGGCATAATTTACCGTGTGTTGTATGACAGTCTCACTGGAGTCTGGGGCAGCACCCCATAATCAAATATTATTTCTTCAGTGAAATGTATGAGTATTCATGCCAAGTGGAATAGAGGCCATTAAACAGGCTTTGCCAGGTTAGGTTTTGCCAACAAATAGGATAAAAACAAAAACAAAAACTTGGTTTTCCGAGTTATCTGGATTTTAGGGTAGCTAGGAAATGACTGTGATCATGTTCACGTCACAGAATTTGCTAAAGTAGTTAAAATAAATGAACACAACCGTACGGATGACTCAGAAACCAGCTGGACGAATAAAGCAAACCACAGCACAGGCCCAAGTGGGACAGTTTTGTAAAAAACAAAAACCAAGACAAGGTCTATAATATTTGCTTAGCAGTGAATAACATACGTAACAAAACTGTTTTGTTATTGTTTTAAGTAAGGGCATGAAACAGGAAACTCAGGAGGTGGTTACCATGGAAAAAGGGGCCCTGGGAGCACCCGTTGGGCTCTCAAGATGGGTGGTGAGCCCACCACTGTCCACTTCAGTTTTACCTTCTGTAACTGACAGACATTCATGATATTAGTTTATACGTAGCAAAGTACATGCTAAACTGCTTCAATAAATAAAAGCAATTAAAAGATGGCTCTGGTTTCCCAGTGGACATGGGATGACCACGGGGTGGCTGGTGACAGCTGAGCAGGAAGACCATCAAAGAGCTGCCCAGTCCAGAGAGCAGTAGCAGCAGAAGAGCCTGAAGGCACAGTCCCTCAAGGTTCTGTGGACAGAGAGCCAAGGGGCCCTGCTGCTGGACCCAGTGTGGAAGGTAAAAGAACAAGACTCCAGGACAATGGGAGGTTTCAAGCTTGAGACCTTGGAAGATGGAGCCACAAGTGAGGAGGAAGGGCTGGGAGTGGAACAGGTTTGAGGAGCTGGGCAAGTCTGGGCTATTAGACACGCAGCCAGAGAAGTCAAGCAGGCACCTGGATTATAGGTCCCCAGATCAGCACTGGAAACATTAATTAGGGAAATATCCTCCACAAAATGATACTGAAAGCCAAGAGTCTGCCAAAGATCGCACAGGGAGAGAGTGTGGGCAGGGAAGCAAAGCGGTGCAGGACAAAGTCCTGGGTACTTGGCGGATGCCAAACTCCGAGATCAGCAGACCGGAGGTGTAGCAGAAAAAAACTGGCGGCAAGACAAAATCGAGAGGTGTCGCTCATACAAACACCCTCTCTCAGAGCTACGACCAACTGCTAAACTCGCTCAGATCAAGCTCTTATTCTGAGGCAACAGGGCGATATTTGAAAGTAACAGCTTCGGAGAACTGGCCCGTTGTTCTGCGCAAGAAGGATTCAGCAGTTAAATACTCAACAGACACAATTAAATGTCCCAATTCTGAAGCCGAGGAACACTTGCTTGCCAAGCAGCAAGTACGTCCTCACCAGCTCAGTCTGCTCTGAAGCGGTTCTGTATTAAAATAGCTCCCTTCCTAGAGACACCTGTGCGGTGTTTCAGTAACTGTCACTGTTCTAGCTGGCGACCATCTCTGAACACTGCAGCCTTCACTCGAAACGTGCTCCCGTTAAGAGCAAACACCGAATTACACAGCCCGGGCACCGCCACGTTAGGAGTCTACTCCTGCCGGAGGAAAGGGGGCAGTTTGACTTGCAAAACTCGAGGGCGCCGCCTGCACCGAGGACGCGGCCCGACTCTGACACCCACTTGGACCTTCGACCCCGGAAGGCTCCCAGCGCGGGCCCGGCCGGCCCGGCGCACCCGGCGGCGGCGCGGCGACC